AAATACGGCTGAGATTTTCCAATGGCATGAAGTAGAAAGATTATATGAAACAAATTGCAAGGTCTACAGCTCAGTTCACTGTGTTGTGCCAGACAATCTTTCTCTCCAGAATCTATCTTACATGTTTATAAGTCTACATTCATTGTTGCTTTGCAGCCACATCTGGTCTGGTGCTCCTGCTATATAATTAGAGATTCTTGATAAAATCCAAAGGAGAATCTGCAATATTATTAATCCTGACCTGGCATCTCGGCTTCAGTCGTTTTTCAACCACCGTAACGTTTTTTTTGTTTTGTTTTTTTTTTGTACCTTTTCTGTAAATACTTTCATGGTACTTGTTCAGATGAACTCTCCTCTATGGTAACTAGACTTTATAAATTTAAGCGCAGTACTAGATTGGCGGAAAGGTCTCGTCATTTTACAGTTGAAACGGCAAGAGATGTAACCGTAAGTTCTATGCTAACAGTTTCTTCTCTCACACTTCTCACTTGCAATGGCAATCGTTATCTTCTGTCTTTTTAATTCCTGTTCTTTTATTGTTCCCCCTCTTTAATAGTTTTTTTTTCTTATATTCTTTTACGCTCAGTAAGCCCTTAAATCTTAGGGGCTTTATTGCCTTGCTTGGAGCGAAACTACTAAAATTTAAAGCAACGTCAACCGCTAACTTCTGTCTTCTTAATTCTTGTTCTTTTATTGCTCTCTCTCCGCCCTCTCTCTCCGCCCTCTCTCTCCGCCCTCTCTCTCTCCCCTCTCTCTCTCCCCTCTCTCTCCCCTCTCTCCCTCTCTCTCTCCCTCTTTCTCTCTCTCCTTAATAGTGTTTTTTATTTTTCTCATATTTTTTCACACTCCTTGTGTCTTAGTAGCTTTATTGCCTTCCTTTGGATTAAATGATAAATAAGTATACCTTCCTCAGTATCATTGCAGTTCAGTCACCCCCGCGATATTGCTTTCTTTTTCTAATGCTCATATTTACCCAATCTCTCTCCTTGTGTTTTGGCACGGTTCTAGGGACGTTATCTCTTATGGACAAATATTCTAACCTTCATGCTTCATAATTTTCTGGATTTTGTGGCGAGGTTCTGGTAATTTCTTTCTGTTTTTATTTCAATTTTTTGATTTCTTTCATCTGCACTCTAGTCCGTTTCTAAAGCTACGTCAGATCTTAGTAGTTTTGCATTCGGTGACATATTCACACGTGTCTGGTAGATTTTATCAAGGATGAAGTTTCAGCTCGTATGACCTGAACCTTCCTCAGTGTCATCGCAAATCCTACTAAGGATTAAGTGACAGCTCATATGACCAATACCATCCTCAGTATCATCGCTGATTCGAACACGTTCACACGTGTCTGGTAGTTGTTACGATTTCAAATAGTTAATTGCCAGCACTTTCCTCAGTATCATCGCAGATCCTACCAAGGATCAAGTGAAAGTTAGCTCAAATGACCAGCACTTTCCTTAGTATTCTTGATCATCGTCTTCGTTGTTTTGTTTGTTTTCATTCTCTTTTACTATTTCACCGTCTATCACTATTTTGCCTTCTCTATCTCATCTGTTCAGCATCTTTTTGTCATCTGTTTTTCTCATCTGTGTTGCATCTTTTTCTCGTCCGTTCCGCCTCTCTTTCTCGTCCATTTTCTTCCCTATTTTATTTATCTTCCGTTCAATTTCTTCTCCGATTTTCTTTCTTTTTTGAAAGTATCTTTTATTCTTCTTCATTTTATCTCTTTTCCTTCAAATTCGTTTTCGTCATTTTTTCTTTTTCTTTCTTTTTCCTCTTTACTACTTCTATTTTCCTTTTTCCTTCTTTGTTTTGGTCTTTTTTCTTTCTTATTTTCCTCACCCCTTCTTCGCTTTCCATTTGATTCTCTTTTTTTTTTCTTTATTCCACACTTCCTCTTTTTCTCTGTCTGTCCTTTCTTTTTCTTTTTTCATTTTCCTTCATTTCTCTTTTTTTTATTCAGTTTTTATTCCATCCTTTTTTACTTCATGTGTTTCGTTTTATTTTTCTTTCTCATCCTTAACCTTTCATTCTAGTTCATCTTCCTCTTCTCTTTTACACGATTCTTTTTTTCCTCTTCCTCCTCAACGTATATTTTATTTATTTATTTTTGATTTATTAAATTGCTTTTTGTCTCCCCTTGTCTTCATAACAAGATGTGATGGCATGAGCCATTGGATGATGGCGTCTGGGTGGGTGACGTAGACAAGCAGAAGTGTCGGCTTTTTATCCTTCCTGGACATGTCATATGGAGATGGTGCGGAGAAAGTGGGGAGCTGGGGGCAAGCTGTCGCCAAGAAGAATCGAGTTCTCGGTACACAAGGCAGACAAAATGAGAAAAACATTTCCTCATTTCTGCTCAGCTATTTTATTTCTGGATTTTTTTTCGCGCCAATTTCTTTTCATGGCTTCCATCTTTGTTGTACTGAAATTGCGATAACTGTTCAATTTGTGTGTGGCTTTGTGTGCTATATATATATATATATATATATATATATATATATATATATATCTATATAAATATTCTTAAATATATATATATTGATAACAGACGCCATTGGTTTATACCAACGGCTTCCCATACTTAATACTTCTGGTTTTCACTCTCGCGTGGTCATGTGTGACGTCACGAGATGCGATGCGATTTTCGCTTCCGCGTCTCGTATACACGAGTTTGTCTTTGTTTGGAAATCTGTCATGCAACAAAAACAGACTATCATTATTGTTTTGTCCGTGTATTGTTTAATATATTGAAATGTAATTGTCATCTTTTCATAATGGCTTATGTAAGCAGAAAGATTAGATAGGATTAAAAAAACATGTATCAATATGGTGATTTTCTTTCAATGATAATGTTATTAAGCTTATCAGACAATATGAAAGGAATTTACTTTGCATCAATGAAAAAAATGCTGCCTAAATACACACACACACACACATATATATATATATATATATATATATATATATATATATATATATATATAATCCCAGCTTTTGTAACAATTCTTACGAAGTTATTCTGTTTTTATCACCGTTTTGGCAGATACATTCTCCAGCCTTCCTCTGGTATAATTGGGAGGATTTTTCTCTCTTCTTGATAGTTTTAGATTTGTGTGTCAAACATGCGAGCAGGGAATCTATGGTACAATGGTCATGACTCATTTCATAGTTTTGCAGAGTGAGGAAAGCCAAAAACACACCAACCAAAATATAGTCATAAAAACAAGAGAGGATGATACTCGTTATAACATCTTGTCGAATACAAGTATTTATTTAATTGATGTGTGTTGTGGTAGGATCCACCTAATTTGCATAGTGGAGTACAGACCATATAAATATGGTTGGTACCGGGAAGACGAGGGGAGGAATCAAGAGATTCAATCCAGTCAACACATTCTCCAGGAACGGTCTTCCCAGAAATATACAAAAGACTATATGTAAATATTGTGTACACTTCCTTGTTTCAATACATTTTGTTCTAAGTACATTTTGTGTTGTATTATTATTCCATGCATTAGTCAAGTTTCAACAATGTGGTTAGATTAATTTGTGGCACAAGGCCGAAGAGGTAAGGCTGGTCAGCACTGACTATCCTAATCCTACTATCCTAATCCTACTCAAGACCCATTCACTTTAACAATTTCATCACCACAAGAAGCCATCCTTCTCTATCCCAATCCAACATAAACCACAATACCACATCTTTGCAGGGATCATAATAAAAAAAAAACATGATTTCTTTTGAATTCCTGCACATGTCCAAATATATTTCCCTCATTTTAAAAAAAATTTATTTAAAATATATATGTATATAAACTAGCTTAAAAGCCGCCCTATCGGGCGACATTTAAGCAAGCTCCTGCTCAGGGCTCTTGATTGGGCCTTCATCACAATAAGTAGGGAAAAGTAGATGCGGCAGGCAACAACAAACTACAAGAGAATTCAAAATTGATTTAAGTATTGCATTAGTATTTAAACTTACCTTTTAAAAGTTCAACAATTCTTCTGTCCTTACCTTAAGGGAATTTGATGTACGTAGGTCCTGACTTTCCGTAAAAACAATTACTGTTATTTCATAGGTGAATTTCACTGGATTTCGCAATTAGTATCGATTATTCCTAAATTTATATAAAAATTGTTATTTACAAAAAAAATTCGTCGCAAAAATCATATAAAAATCGTCGAAAACAATAGCAGAAATGAAAACTTGGGAATCCAGAATTTCAGGATAGCGGATTCGGCTCGGAATGGTTTTAATTTGCTCACAGTCAGTCTGATTCCAAAATTGTATGACATATTGGGCTATGGCCTCTAGGAGTAAAGTTGAAAACACGGATAATTTTATTTTGAAACACTGTAATTTGAGAACAGTATTTTTTTTTCATTTGAACATGAGCTATTGAAAGTTAAGGAGTTGTCTCGCTTTAATGGTTTTTATCAGTAGGAGCCAAAATGGCGGAATACGAAGACAGTAATGAAAACTTGGGAATCCGAAATTTATGACGAAAAATCAAAATTACACTCTGTGTGATATGTGGTATTTAATGTGATTAATAATGACAACACAAATTAGATTCATAGCTTTTACTACCTTTTGAGTATTTACTTTTAAAGATCGTCAGAAAACCTGTACAGAAATACCTAATTTCTGCAGGTTTCATTTACGCTATTTACAATTTTCGGACTATTGTCCTCATCTTTGTCGCCATATTTATTACAACGTTTCGGCCGTTGTACGCTCCGGTCTTCTTCAGGTGGTTAGAATGATGAACTGAACCCTTTATTTCGCTCACTGGGGTAGACTGTTCTAGTTCCACGTGCCATGTTTAATGGATGTCAGTTATTAGTTATCTCCTGTTAATTCCCCTCTCCAAGTTCTCCACTGCCTTAACCGGGTTTTGAACGTAAGCGAATATAACGAACCCAACGGGATTAGAACTCTGTTCTCCGATTAACAATTCGGAGCCGTTATTCATTACACCGCGCGCACATCCAAGCTTACAGCATCTGGTATTACCAAGCGGTCTCCCATCTAGGTACTGACGAGGTTCAACGTTGCTTAACTTTTGTTGATCGTACGAGAACCGGTGTATCAACTTGAGGTGGGCATAAGCCTAAAGCTTAATTTATCAGCTTATCATTATTAAGCGGCGGTTACGTGTAGTAAAGATAAGGCAGGGAATCCCCGGTGTACATGCGCACTGACAGTATTATTTATTATCATAGGGTCACCGCTGCCATTTTAATATCTTTCTTTCATATAGTGGGCGGTGATAGTTCAAGTGGTCGGAATTCTGGGGCGGCATTATTTTGAGTCACAATAAGCCCAACTACTTCAGCCACCAAACATTCTTTGGAAACCATTTTTGTTTTCCTTTCCTCCACATTTTTTATTCTTCTTTTTATGACTCACTTCCGACATCTTGTAGCGTTTTCTCTTTCTTCAATTCTCATTCACTCTTTTTCCCTCCTCGCCCTCCACCTTTTCTACTTCCTTCCTTCGTCCTCCTCCTCTTCTGCTTTTCTCCTTTTTTCCTTCTTTTTTTTTCATCTTTTTTTCCTTCCTTCTTCTTCCGCCGCTCTTTTTTCTTCGTTTTCCTTCCTTCTTCCTCTTCTCTTTCTTTTTTCCTTCCTTCCTCCTCCGCTCATTTTTTTCCTTTTTTCCTTCCTTCCTTCATTCTTCGCTCTTTTTTTCTCCCTTTTTTCCTTCCTGCTTCCTCCACTTTTTTATTTCCTTTTTTTCCTTCCTTCCTCCTCCGCTCTTTTTTCTTCTTTTTTCCTTCTTTCCTCCTCCGCTCATTTTTCTCCTTTTTTTTTTCCTTCCTTCCTCCTCCGCTCTTTTTCTTCTTTTTTCTTCTTTCCACCTCCTCTCTTTTTTTTTTCCTTCCTTCCTCCTCCGCTCTTTTTCTTCTTTTTTCTTCTTTCCACCTCCTCTCTTATTTTTTCCTCCCTTCCTCCTCCACTCTTTTTTCTCCTTTGTTCATTCCTTCCTTCATTCTCCGCTCTTTTTTCTCCCTTCCCCCTTCTTCCTCCGCTTTTTTCTCCTTTTTTTCCTTCCTTCCTCCTCCTCTCTTTTTACTTCTTTTTTCCTTCTTTCCTCCTCCTCTCTTTCTTTTTTCCTTCCTTCCTCCTCCTCTCATTTTTCTCCTTTTTTTCCCTTCCTCCTCCTCACTTTCTTTTTTCCTTCCTTCCTCCTCCGCTCATTTTTCTTCTTCTTTTCCTTCCTTCCTTCTTCCTCCGCTCTTTTTTCTCCTTTTTTCCTTCCTTCCTCCCTCCTTCGCTCTTTTTTCTCCTTGTTTTATTCACTTCCTCAGCTTTTTTTTCCTTTTCCCCTCCTGTTCCCCCTCTACTTTGTTATTTCCTTTTTCCACTTCTGCTCTGTTTCTCCTTTTATTCTTCCTCCTCCTTTGCTGTCTTTTCCTCCCGCCTCCGCTCTTTTTCTCTTTTTCTTTTTTTCACTCTCTCTTTTTCTCATTCCCTTTCTCCTACATTCTCTTTTCTCCTTTTCCCCTCCTCTTTCGCTCTTTTTTCTTCTTATTTTTCCTCCTGCCTCACCCTTACCTTTCTTTTTTTTCCATATTCTTTCTATTCTTTTCCTTCACTCTCTTCTCCTCCTCTTTGTCAAACCTTCGTTTTTACCCTCTCTCTTTTTTCCTCTCCTCCTCTGTTTCCCTCTACAATATTTCTCTTTCACTCTCTTCTCCTCCTCTTTGTCAAACCTTTGTTTTTACCCTCTCTCTTTTTTCCTCTCCTCCTCTGTTTCCCTCTACAATATTTCTCTTTCACTCTCTTCTCCTCCTCTTTGTCAAACCTTCGTTTTTTACCCTCTCTCTTTTTCCTCTCCTCCTCTGTTTCCTTTACAATATTTCTCTTTCCTCTCTTCTCCTCTTTGTCAAACCTTCGTTTTTACCCTCTCTCTTTTTTCCTCTCCTCCTCTGTTTCCCTCTACAATATTTCTCTTTCACTCTCTTCTCCTCCTCTTTGTCAAACCTTCGTTTTTACCCTCTCTCTTTTTTCCTCTCCTCCTCTGTTTCCCTCTACAATATTTCTCTTTCACTCTCCACTTCTTCCTCAATCCCTTGTCTACGCCCTCTCTCTTTTTCTTACTCTCCTTCTCTCTTTTTCTTACTCTCCCTTCTCTCTTTTTCTTACTCTCCCTTCTCTCTTTTTCTTACTCTCCCTTCTCTCTTTTTCTTACTCTCCCTTCTCTCTTTTTCTTACTCTCCCTCTCTATTTCCCTCTGCCATTTTTCTCTTTTATCTCACCTTTTATTCTCTTTTTTTTTTTCTTTTCTTTTCTTCTTTGACCACTCTTCATTTCTTTCTTTCTTTCTTTCTGCTATCGTCTCTCCTTCTTACGCAATGGCACCGTGAGTTTGTCCCGGTTCTTCAACAAAGGCCAAGGTTGGGGGTCGGGAAGGTTTTGTTGCGGCGGTTATGGGTGTGGTAGGGGTATGTCAGGGTAGCTTGGATGAGTATGTCATGATTCACGGGGCTGGTATTTCCTCTTGATCTTTTTGAAGAATTCTGTCAACCTATGAAAGACGGAGAGCCTAGAATGGGGAGTGGCGTAACTCTTTGATGAGAGAGAAAGAGAGAAAGAAGGAGGCAATGGCGGCAACAAAGGGAGGTGGGGTTGAGGAGTGGTGGGTGCTGAATCGAGTCCCGGATTCTCTGATGCTGCCCGAAGCAGACAATGAAGAATCCGGTGACGGAATGAGACGTGGAATAACAAAACCCAAGTTATTGCTAATGCTATGGACCTGAATTAATAAACCGTGGGTTGGCGGTTTCATAATGATGATGAATAAAAAAAAAAAGATTTGTGATGGGTTGAATTAAAGAATATTGTGCGAGGTGGTTGTTTTTTTTATTTTTTATTTATTTATTTATTTATTATTTTATTTTATTTTTTTTTTTTTTTTTGAGAATGGCGATGTAAGGGTGTGGTATTAAACAGTCATGAGTGAAGTTGGAACGTTGAAAGCGTCTATTAAAAATCCATGGATATTACCTTCGAAAAGAATCGGTTGGTTTCCGTACAAAATCCACTCTACTAAAATAACTCCTTTGGTTCTGAAAATTTACTGATTGTGTTGAAATGTCTGCCCTTTCATAAGTCAAGCAAGATTTTACATGCATATTCACACACACACACACACACACACATATATATATATATATATATATATATATATATATCCACTCTTAGATTCATAGCTTTTACCAATTTTTGAGCATTTAGACTTAAAAATCGTCTGAAAACACATGGGAAGAAATATCTACTTTCCGCAAGATTTTGCTTACAAACTAACTTCAAAATTTTACTATTTCAAGAATAAATCCAAATAAAATTAATATCTTTTGTATTAGATTCATTGAATGAAAAATATATTCAAACCAGAATTATAATTATGAATCACCACAAGTAAAATATGCAATTTCTTACTGTATTAAATAAGTAAAAACTATAAAAAAAATTGTAAAAGATCACAAAAAATGCTATTCAATAAATAACATTTGATAGATCATAATTAATAAAAAATAGATAAAAGTAATTGTGTATTTTGGTTTTCATTTAAAAGTTTCACACAACAATGAAAAGTATAAAAAAATAAAATAAATTAAACATATCAAGCGTGCAATAGTGCAGGGCAGGTTGATTTTTTTCTCATTTTTCAAAAAAAATCAACATTGCACACAATACTAAAGCTGGGATTTGATGTCATAAGGATTGTCACCAAAAATGAGATCCATAGCTTTTACCAATTTTTGAGCATTTACATTCAAAGATCTGAAAAATGTAGCGAAATACTTAATCTCCACAGGATTTTGCTTGCAAAGTGACTTCAGAGTTTTACTATTTCAAAAATAAATCCAAATAAAGTTGATATCCTTTGTATTAGATACATTGAATGGAAAATATATTTAAACTAGAATTCTAATTATGAATCACCACAAGCAAAACATACAATTTTTTACTGTACTTTAATGTAAAAAAAAAAAAATTGAAGATTACAAAAAAGGCTACTCATTGAATAAGATTTGTTAGATCATAATTAATAAAACCAAAAACTAGATAAAAATGTATATAGCACCATAATACTACTGGGTACAAATTATAAGACAAAATGGTTTAAATTTGCATTGTTTATTGAAAATCCCGTTAAAACTACTGAATTGTATAACATATGACATCATAATATAGCAAAACTGTTCAGTTAATTTTCCGCTTGCAGTGAATGAAGATCTTATTTGATGTCAGTGATTTAGTAATAATGTCCTTGTGCCATACATCTTGTCCATATACAACTTGTAAAGCTTCAGTAAATTTCGTAGTAGTCGAAACCGTGGTAGTGTTCTGATCAACCTTCATTTTTTTTTAAACATTTGATATATATATATATATATATATATATATATATATATATATATATATGAAAAATACTAACCTCCAGGAAAGTAACTCGTTGTGCCGTCTCAGGCTAACGTTCTCAGCTGACATGAAGTGAAAAGACTATATTAAATCCATTGCTAGGTCAGCTGCTAAGAAAGTTGGTTCACTGTGTCGTGCGAGACACTTTTTCTCTCCAGAATCTATCTTACATATCTATAAGTCTACCATTCGTCCATGCTTAGAATATTGTGCCTTCTCGGGCTAATGTTCTCAGCTGACATGAAGTGAAAAGACTATATTAAATCCATTGCTAGGTCAGCTGCTAAGAAAGTTGGTTCACTGTGTCGTGCAAGACAATTTTTCTCTCCAGAATTTATCTTACATATCTACAAGTCTACCATACGTCCATGCTTAGAATATTGCTGCCACTTGCTATTTGCCTTGAGCTCCTTGATAAAGTTCACGAAAGAATAAACAATATTATTGGTCCTGATCTGGCAGCTCGGCTTCAGTCACTTTCCCACCGTCGTAAAGTTGCCTCCCTGTGCCTTTTCTATAAATCCTTTCATGGATGTCAAGATCTGATCAATTTACAGTTGAGCTGGTTAGATGTAGCCAGTTTCTTTTCTCGTACTTCTAACCTGTGGAACTCCTTTCCGGCTCCATGCTTTCCAGTCAACTTTAACCTTCAAATATTTAAA